AAAAAAAAAAAAAAAAAAAAATAAAAAATATTCCCTATAATTTTTTTGCTAAGCTTATAAAATTTCTTTAAAATTTATAAATTAATTTTTATGAAAGTTAAAAATAAGTCATTTATTTTAAAAGTGTTCATTTCATTTATGTTTAAGAGTAGCGTAACAATTTATCGCCTAGAGCCTCATAATTCTGACGATAGGCCTTGGATATATGAAAATCACGAAGGCGGATTGTCAATGGTCCAAATATCTTTAATGCTTGGATACTACTTGCGGACCTTGAAAAAGGATTCCATAGTCTATGTTAGGCATTTTAATAAGTGCTAAGTATTGATAAGTGTATTTTGTACATTTACTTAAACTATTAAATTAGTGGTTTCGTATTATTTTTATTAATTATAGCATAATCTCGTGTATTTATCGTTTGTTAAGAGAAATTCAATGAATTGAAGTGAAAGGGACGAAAAATCGACGAAAAATTAGGATTTTTCAAACCATTTCTCTTGTGAACCAAACCAAGTCAAATCATATTTTGCTACCACAATTTACCCCGTAAATGTCATGCAAGATTTTTTACATAAGTATTGAAATTTGACTAAGACTAAACAACAAAATAACCTTTATTTATTTATTTTTTCTTTCTGAACAATTCATTATTGAATAATGATCTGTCTTTCTTAATAATATAATTAAATATTAAGTTGATGAAAATGAAGTTATGATATATATCCTTTTATTTTGTCTTGGCCCCAAATGCAACTTTTATTGATTTGATGGGACTCCATATCCAAATCCATTCATGCACATATCTTTTACTAGTAATTTATTCGAGAATAGTGTTATCGTACATGCATTCTACATCTTAGTAGCTCTTATGAAAAGAGAGTGCACACTTTTGCTTTCATATTGTGATAATATAATTTGTTATAATGTATAAAAAATTTCTAAAAAAAATTTAAAGTCGTGCCTTTTAAGTGAAGCGACTTTTGGTAACCATCATAAATAATATATTATTTTCTCGTTGTTAATCAAATCTTAACTTCTTAGTCCAATTAATATGCATTTTGTGCCATGAAATTAGGTAGCAAACCGAAGATAAGTCGACTACCAATACAAATTGAATTCCTTTTTTATACCATATCTGAACGAGCTCAAATTAACTATGACTCATACAAGGAAAGAGAGAGGTCTATTCCTAATTGAATTATTTTTACTCAACGAAAGGCTTAATCCATCTCAAGCTATCAGAATATAGAAAATGCATGAGTAGATCTCAACTCCGTTTTTCAATTAGACGACATTTAAATTATGATTTAAAGATTTATATTTTTGAACTTTCATTGCCTATTAAAACAATGAAGCTTTTAATTTAGTCAAGTCACTTTGCCAACTAGTTACAAAAAAGGATTCCTACATATTTGGTGGAATATGCCTACAATTAAGTACGTGGATTCTATGAATTTGGATCATTTTTGGTAAAAGCAAAAAGAATGAAAAAGTTGATAAATAAGTGACGTCAAATTCAACAACCATACGCGATTCTAAAACACAATAAATTGATGGTCAATTTGGATAAGTCTCTGTTCGTATAATCTAGATAAACACGTGATATTCTATTTATTAGTACGGAAACATAATATATATATATATATATATTGTTTAGATAATTAGATGGCAGCATTAGTGATATTAAATTATAAATTCAATTAAATAAGTTATTAAATTTAACCTTTAATTCAATATATCACATAATATTATATAGACTGGTGCTAGAAAGTATTATTCTAACACATAAATTTGATTAGCTCTTATTTGATATATATTAAAATCAAATTTTTTTAATTTTGATGAAAGTTTATGAAATAAATAGGGACTTACAAAATAATTATAAAATTTTGAAATAAATAATATTTTCATTTATGAAGATTAAAAATAAGTAGGTAAGAGTTCATTACTTCATTTAAAGAAAATTAAGTTATTTTTTCTTAGAAGTAAATAAAGTAAGTTATTCAAGTACAAAGCTTTAATTTTTATTATTATTTTTTTTACTAAGCTTCTTAGAGAAGGTAAAATTTTACTAAAGCTTAATAAGTAAATTCAATAAATAATTTTTATTAATTGAAATTAAAATAAGAGTTCTTATTTATTTTTTATACTAACATAAGATATACTCCAGAAAAAGTAAATATTTTATTGAAAAGTAAGAAAACTGTTAATTATCTAAATATTTTTGTAAACAAAAAGTAAATTTACTTTTAAGTAAAAATAGGTAAATAACTTAAGTGCTTGTTTGGTAGGGATTTTTTGGGGAAGAATTGTTTTTTGAATAATGATATGATGGGAAATATTATTTTATTGAAAAATGTGTGGTTAAAAATGAAAATTGATTTGAGAATCAATTCTCAAATCATTACCAAACACCCCAGTGTGCCTCCTTTTAGGAAGAATTTATTGTAAATTTAATTTACAAATAGATAGAAATTAATTCTGAATTAGTAAAAATACTTACGAGAATTTGTAATTTTTTTTCCAAAGCAATGCTGGATTTGTTGGGAATTTAGAGACGCAAAATTTGAAGCAAAGTAATACAGAGAGAGAATGCAGAGTAAAAATGGAGAAATACTTGCTAGTAAACTGAAAACAGCTAAAAAAATATCAACTAACATCACATTTTATTGCCACTACTTTATATTCACTTTGACTAACTAAAAACTAGAAAATTACTGAGCAAATGTCTGCAACTTTAACCAATATCATTGACTATGTCTAAGTGGANATACACACATTGCATGAAATAAATTATATATACAGTACATCTAATTCGGAAAGCTGCCTTAAAAAACATAGCTTAGAACTCGAAAATTAAGTTCAGGGTTTTTGCTAATCATCAACTGCCAAATTATATACAAAGCACTGATAACACCCAAAAAAAAAAAAAAAAAAAAAAACCTCAAAAAAGCTATCTTTATTTTACTTCTTACATGAAGTAGGAAATGTCGTCGGTCGAACTTGACAATGATCGAACATTGATTCTTTTGTTGAAGTTTGAATGCATGGCTGAGTGTGCATGTCGGGAAAGGGGGTGGACATGGGAGTTGTAGAGAATTATCAGACAGTTTAAAGATTAACTTGGCCTTGAAGATTTTTGTTTATCGTTAATGACGATCAATTAGTACAGTTGAATGGTTGTAAGATTTGACATAAACGAGCTAATCTTTGTTGCAGATCAATACACTCTAGTGTTAGCAGGTTTGTGTCTCTTTGAACGAAATGGTACTCATTTGTGAGCCTGCACAACCGGATTTTTAATTTCCGGTTCTCGATTTTTACAGAGTTTGCTTCATTTTCGAGGTTCATTAGGTGCGTCTTTTTCCGCCAACGTGATCTCCTGGCTGATTCCCGGTTTGATATCATTCGTCTGCGCTTTCTTTCTTCAATTGAATAGACTGATCGAGTTGACTCTAGACTGGACGTCGTTTGGACGGGATGTTGTTCTGATTGGAAAAGTGAAAAGAGTTCATAGATTTCGCCATTAGAGAAAACATCTTCAAGAACCGGGGGTTGGTACTGGACCTGCTCTTGAGAAGGCACCATGATTGGAAGAATTTCTTTTGAGAAACCGGTTTAAGTGAACGGGGGGAGGAGAGGAGAGGTAAAGGGGAGAAGTGAGGTGAAGGAAATGGTTATTTATGGACGATGGAGGGTGACATGTGGGATCCATTCAATATTTGAACTTTCAAAAAGAAGATTCTTTGTATCTCTTGGAAAAAAAAAAAGAAAGAAAGAAAGAAAGAAAAAGATAATATAGAATTGGTGATTATTTAAAGTTGCATAAATAATATATGCTAAAAACTAATGTTGAAATAAGGTTTATGAAAACAACAAAGACTTGAGTTTTTGTCTTAACAAATTTGAGGTGGTTACAATTTTTTACATTTTTGTAGGTTTAGTTTACACGCATAGTTTATTTAATCTACTCGAAGATATAATTTAAATAGATCTTTAACAACATACCATACTAGTGAGCTCTGATCTCCTATCCTCAGTGGATATGATAAAAAAATTTTAATGCTAATGTGATAAGAGAATTTTAGTTATAATTCTTTAAAACAGTCATAATTCGGATAACCATAATTATGCTTTCTTGCCATATCATCAGTGGAAAATTGTTATCCTATCTGTGAGTAGAAGAACAATTCCACCATATTAGTATTTCAATTACATTGCATATTTGCATATTTGATTTTGTTAATTTACGTTACAACTCGATCTGAACTTTTGTAATATTGACAATCACAACTTGTTTATTACAAAGGGAAGACTCGATATTTCATAAAACTTATAACTACGAAATAAGAGAGGGGCTAAAGATGGAGTAAAACAATTGCCTTAAATGCTAGTTAGCAATACTAAGAAAAATCGAGCATTATGTGACGGTTAATTGTCATCATAGAAAGCTATTCATGATAGATACCAAATACTGATCATTATCAAGAAAATGCAAAAAAATAATCGTATCTAGTTTCTTGGAAAACTATGTTAAAAGTTTTCATGACTTTTTGTGGGAAAATACAAATCCCATGAAACAATTGTGTCAATACACGTAGCAGCATCTACAAATTTTGTGGGGGTTGTTGGAGAGTATTGTCTGCTTTCATAAGGTTGATCCTGTAAATTCATTAGCTTAATCGTGAAGAATCAACAAATAACCAAAATAACTAATCAAATTAAAAAAAGTCAGCAAAGACCAAGTAAAAGCAAAATTTGGGTTAGTTTAAAGAAGCCACGTGGAATATGATATAATTCTCTCAAACTTTAAATTCCATTTCATGTGGCTCAACATAAACCAATTGGCCAAACGTGAAAGGATAATTTATGCTGTGGTCGTTGTCTTGAGAGAAAGATCCTATAACACGTGCGTTTTATGAATACATTCCTAATTCACTAAGTGTTCACCTTGGTAAAAGGTAATGTGACACAAATACATCCTATCCATTCGAGCGTTATTTCTCTCTTACTCCCTAAGAAGACGAGTTAGATGAAATTTGACATTTCCCATATCATTTTATATTATAGCAGACATTTATACTGTGTACTAAGATTTGTATTGGATGACCCTATTATTTGGTATTATATAGAGGATATTAGTTAATATTTTATATAGAGAGAGATCGAGATATTCGTGAGATTTTCATTGCAAACTTCTATTTTTTGTATTTTAAGTGAATTTTGACAATGACGAGTGGAATACTACACTTAGCTCTGTTTGATGGAGGTTAAAATCAAATTTTTAATAGAATTTGATAGAAGTTGATGAAATGTGTAGTTGAAATGTTGTGGACCCATAAATATGTCAAGTTAATTCTCATAGCATGTTTGATATTCTCGACTAAAAATACATTTTAATTTTATATGTAAATCCAAAACTTTTACTTGCCTCTAAACCATTCATTCTTTAAAAATACTATTGTAAAATCTAATCTCCCAAAAATGAGCTCAAACAAACCCTAAAAATGTAACAAAATTCTTCAGAGACTAGCTAGTAGCTACATCATAAAAATAAAGAATATTGAATTCAGCAAATGGTTTTTTGGTTATCATATGTATATTGTATGCATATTATTTAATCTTGGGAAGCGAAAAGCTGACCTTGTCTTAGCATGTAATGTTTCATTAGCACTATAAAAGCTAATGCGGAATATTCCTAATCAGTTTTTTTTTAGTTGGTATTTGTGGTAGTTGAGTGTTAATTGGAAGTTATTTCTTGTTTTGCTATGTTAGCAAGTTTTCTGTTATACACATGGGGGCATGTTCTGTGTAGAACATTAATAGACAATACAATATACAAACTCCTATTTTTTTAACTGTCCAATATTATACTGTCAATATGATGTGATTCATGTGTAGCATTTCACATGAGTACATAATGAACCATACTACAGTGCCAAAATAATTGACATAATGTCACATGACAATCTCATAAGACTATTTAAAATTCAGTTATCTAGTGTTGCTTTTGACATTATTCTTCTGAGAAAGGGGTTTAACCTGTGCATGATAGTACAATTGAGAAAAATTTAAATTTTTTTTATTAATACATATCGTCCTATTATATTCAACTAATGGTGTGTAACATGCAGTTTTTTTTTATCTTAATTTCTGTCTTTTTCAGCTTGCAGATCAACTCCTATTTCAAATTTGCAGCCCCATTATTCTCTCGTCATTGGACTTTTCTAAACCAGAAGTAGGCTTCATGTGCTCTAAGTAATTATTATAAGAAATAAACATCTAAAAGTTACTTCTTTTGCATTTCTATAGCAAAGATTTAACCTAAAAAAGGAGCATCGGATGTTGGAGGTGGAATCTAAGTGCCTGCAAAATGTGTCTTTTTCTGCTTTTCTCGGCCAACAAATTCTATAAGCCCATAAAAGGAGGCCATTTGTAGATCTATGAAACCAAAAAAAAAAATAGAATTGGCGTTGGCATCTAGTTTGTATTGGGCATATGGTTTTAATATGGATTACAAAAATAATCGAAACACTCGAAATATTAAGTAATTTGGAAGTGTGGATAAAAGCTAATTACATTGTAAAAAGAGTTTAGGGTAATAGAGAAGTGGGCATCCAGTTGATCAAGTATTCTGCAGTTCGAAAAGAATTTGCAGCCCCAATAACTCAAGAGGTTTATTATATCATAAAAGAATTCGAGTCATCAAACAGTAACTTGTGACTTTTATGACATGAATAAGAATTACAATGCAGAACGCTAAAGATAGCATGTGTTGACCTCAAAAATTTCTAGGATTCTATTGTCAACAGATCTCAAACTGAATCTTTGTCAACTTGTATGTTTCATGCACATTCGAACAAAATTATCATCACCATGATCACCAAGCCAGAAAAGAGACCACAATCATTGATACTCCGATGGTCAAGTCAATAACCTATACAAAATAATATGGGGGAATTGGGTGAAAGATGTAAGCAAGCAGATATTTGATTAGAGTTTACAGAAAAGCAAAAGAGTACCTTTTACCTTAACCTCTGTATCTGTATTTACAGAAAAGGAATTCTTATGGAGTAAGGCATTAGACGTGCAACTCTAATCTACATGTCATCTTCTGGTTCGCTAGACTCATTATAGTAGGTTTCCTTCCTTGAATTTGTTTCCTTGTGCAACTGAGTTTCCTTGTCGAGAGAGATCATGAAAGATTTTCCTTGATCTCCAAGGATTGCGTGTTGGTTTCCAAAAACTGATAAGGTTGTTTCCTTATTCAAATATATGAGTACAAGTTCATATGTATGCTTTTTCAAAGGAATTTGTCTAGAAAATGTTCATCTGTTCAGCTATGTCGTGCAAAGACGAGGGATGACAATAAGGGTGATCGTGAAGGCAAATGCCTTCGCCTATTACAGTGGTGAAACTTAAGGATTTGCCACGAGTCTTCCTATTGAGAGGTTGCTTGGCATTCATTGCCACGTATCTGTCTACGTGGGGCTTTCGTCAGACCTGGGTATAACAATAGTCTCCTAAGTTCTAGTCTAATATTAGTGTTAGGCGAAGGATTTTGATGTATGGGTAAACCTTCAAATTTGATTTGTAAGAGTATATGAGATTCATTGCGTATCTGAATTTAGACAATGCTGATGATCATCCCACAATCTTTGCGTGTTGAAGTCCCAGTTTTCGTGAAGGTATAGTAAGAAGAACTTTATGCAAAGTATAATAGTAGTCCTCCAAGTCCAAGTTTAATTATTTATATCAGACGAAGGACTTTAAGATAAGGACATACATTAAGTGAAAAGTTAGGACGGCCACGTGGAAGCTCCTCTATGGCAAAGTACGAAATGTGCTCGTTGAGATGTATAATCTCAACAATACATACGGCTGTTGTAATTGTTTAGTGAAAGTTCAAATTTTTTAGACTCACGTGTAGAATTAATTAATTAAAATCAACAAGTTACTTTTTGATTGTTTCTAGATGTTTAGGTCTATTAATCCAATTTTACCTTATGTTTGAATACCACAATAAATCAAAAATAGTAAATAAATAAAAATATCAAAGATGATCACGGAAAAAAAATCCTTCACAAAGGATAAAAAAAACTCCGGGCCCAAGCCAATAATATCCACCACAAAAGTTAACTTACAACTAGTCCAGATACTGCTAAATGTTAGTTGACTCTGACCACCTAGCTTGTAAATCATCGAGGAACTCTGTTGGTTGTGCATGCCCGCACTTCCTAGAACTTTGGGCCACTTTTATCTTCTGTGGATCTTCAAGAATGAACCTCGTTCTTCCGCGTTGGAACTCCAAGCGCCTCTTTCCAAAACTCCAGGATTTTGAAGGCTAATTGGCGAAGGTACGGTGTGAGTTTGGTGTTTGATCAATGGATCTTTATGTGTTTTGATCTTGGATTGAATATAGGGATTTATGGATCAACCTATAAAACAATTATTGGAATCAATTTATCAATCAAGGAACTTGGTAGTTGAATCTAGAGACTTTGAATATGTTGTTAATCTCTAACTTGATTTTAGAAGATGATGTACCATGGGTATTAGGCCTATTCGACCCTAAAATATAGTCAATC